CAACACACACACACACACACACACACACACACACACACACACACACACACACTGCTATAAGCTAAGAAATTGAATTTATTATGACACTGCAGGTTCCTGATGATGGAAGGAAATGGAAAGAGGTCGGGGAGACAGCCGAGCGATGGAGAGGCCACTTAGATCTCCTTCGTTCAGACACATTCCTTAAGCTCCAGAACAGCGAGGATCAGATTCTATGCAACTATGCAAACAAGGTAAGCAAAACCAGGATGAGTGTGAAGTGTTACTATAGGATTAGTATTATCATTGTTTATATTTACCTATTATTATTACTAATACTGTTGTAATTATTATTGTATTATTGATACAAAACATTGATCTGTCATGAAATACAATAAAGCAAATCAAAATAATATTTCCTCACAAAAGATGGACATTCATACTGTAGAAATTCAGGAATATCATTCTTTCTCTTCACAAATAGCACATTATCAGTAAACATGTTATAATGAAATAAGAAATTAATCTCATAGTCAAAAAATGTGTGTATCGGCTTTGTTTTATAAGTTTTAGTTTATCTTCATTGCCTGATCCTGTGTCAATATATTCTCTGTGGAACATACCTCACTTGACATGTATAGGCTGAGAGTGCTAAACTGAATGTTGTTACAGTAACTGGCTTGTGTGTATACTTTGTAGACATACAAGCTATATTTTTACATAAACATATTTTTGGGGCCTGCTGGGAGGGCGGCTGCTGGGGCGCAGGATGGGAACGGGAGCTCCTCATCTCACCTGCGTTCTGGCAGCCGCCAGTCCGATATGAAGCTTGTGGGGCAAAGCCCTAGGGAACCCCACAAGTGGATGATGGGTCCCGCAGCCTGCCGCCTTTTATGTGGGGCACCGTCGGCAGGGGTGGCACAGGTGGCGGCCACCCAGAGTGACTGCCCGAGGGTTTAACCTCAGACGGGAAGTCAGGGTGGGGGCTTGGAACGTCCGTTCTTTGCGTCAGGATGATCGATTGCCCCTATTATCGCGGGAACTGGGGAGGCTGAGAGTTGGGGTGGCTGCTCTCTCGGAAGTGAGAAGACCTGGCAGCAGCATGATCATTGTAGGTGGCTATACCTATTACTGGTCAGGCCGCAGCGACGGTCACCATCTTCAGGGAGTAGCCAGAGCTATCTCCAGTAGGCTCCAGCCCTTGGTGGTAGAGGTTACTCCAGTCGATGAGCATATAATGGTAATGAGACTGAAGCTGTCCTTTGGCTTCATGTCTCTTATTGCTGTGTGCGCTACTATCAGTGTTTGTAAGCTCAACGTGAAAGAGATGTTCTACGCCAAACTTGCATCTGTGACAGACAGTTGTCCCCAGCAAGATATTCATATTGTTCTGGGTGACTTCAATGCGGTATCTGGCTGCAATCGAGCTGGCTATGAGATGTCTGTCTGTCGTCATGGTTCGGGAGTTGATACCGGCAGTGAGAATTCCCTCCTTTTCCGGGATTTTGCAAGATCCCAGAAATTGAGGATTTCTGACTCCTGGTACCAGCGCCCAGACCCAAATCGTTGAACACGGTACAGCAATGCGGGTAATGCAGCCAAGGAGATTGACCACATTCTCGTTAGCACTAGTTGGAGGATCCTCCAGAACTGCAGGGTGTATAGGAGTGCCACGTTCTGTAGTACAGACCATAGATTGGTTGTGGCTACACTCCAGGTTCACTTCAAAACTCCCCAGCGGCCCAATGACCACTCTAGGGTGTTTCATTTGGACGCTGAAGGAGAGGGAGTGTGCTCGGGGGTTTGCTGAGACAATCTCTGATCGCTTCACAGCGCTTGACAATCTGACAGACCCTGTACTTTAGTGGGACACCTTCAAGCTCGAAGCGCTTGATGCAGCCCAAGAATCGATTGGAGAACACCGGAGGGCAAGACAGAATTTAATCTCTCAGGAGACACTGGAAGCCACAGATGCTTGCCATGCGGCTCGTCTGGCAGGGGATCGGGATTTGCACCATTCTCAGGTGCGCAGAACTCGGTCACTGTAAAGAAGCGACAAGGAACAGTTTATTAGGAGTCTTGCTGAGGAGGTCGAAGGCCATTTCTTAGTAAATGACCTTCGTCCTGCATACCAAGCCCTGAGAAAACTGAATTCCAAGCCCTCTTCACAGGTGACTGCAGCTCGCTTAGTAGGTGGCCAGATCGTCTCAGATCCTGTTGCGGTGCGGGAACATTGGGCTGAATATTTTGAGCAGCTGTATCAGGTTAACTCTCCAACAGTTTATTTGGATGCAGGTAGTGCCATGATTCTGCTGCCGGACCCACCCATTAGCAAGGACCCAGCCTCCCTAACTGAACTTGGGGAGGCAATCTCCAAGCTGAAGAGTGGTAAAGCAGCAGGTATTTGCGGCATCCCAGTTGAACTGTTAAAGGCTGGGGGTAAACTTATGGCGCAGGGATTGCATGCTGTCCTGACTGCCATCTGGCGGTCCGATATCGTTCCCCCTGACTTGTTGAGGGGTGTGGTCATCCCTCTCTGGAAGGGGAAGGGGGACCAATGGGACTGCAGCAATCACCACAGCATCACACTGCTCAGTGTACCAGGCAAGGTTCTTGCCCACATCCTTCTGAGGTGTATTAGAGACCATCTACTGAGGCATTGGAGGCCGGAGCAATCTGGATTCACTCCTGGTAAGTCCACAATAGACTGTATCCTTGCGCTTCGAGTCATTGTAGAGCGCCGTCGTGAGTTCGACATGGGCTGCTTGCAGCCTACATCGACCTCAAGAAGGCGTTCGATACAGTGCATCGGGAATCACTCTGGGAGATCCTGAGACTGAGAGGAATTCCAACAAGGATTATTGAACTAATAGCAAACCTGTATGCTGGTACTGAAAGTGCTGTAAAGTGTGGTGGGGGCCTGTCGAGCTTCTTTCCTGTCAGTTCAGGAGTGAGGCAAGGCTGTGTTCTTGCACCAACACTTTTCAACACTTGCATGGACTGGATACTAGGCAGAGCTACTGTTCAAAGTCATTGTGGAGCAACACTGGGCAATATTAAGGTTACAGACCTTGACTTTGCCGATGATGTTGCCATTCTATCTGAGTCTTTGGAAACCCTAGTGGTGGCTCTCGATGCATTTAGTAATGAAGCGAAGCCCTTGGGTCTAGAGGTCTCCTGGACCAAGACCAAGATCCAGGACTTTGGGGACTTGCTAGGAGAACCTGTTCAGTCAGTACGTGCTTGCGGCGAGGACATTGAAGTCACAGAGAGCTTTACATACCTTGGTAGTGCAGTTCATAACTCTGGGCTGTCAGACCAGGAAGTCAGCAGACGGATTGGCCTGGCAGCAGGGGTCATGAACTCTCTCGACAGGAGTATTTGGAGATGCCGGTACCTGTGCAGAAGGACCAAGCTACTGGTTTTCAGGGCCCTGATAATGCCAGTTTTGCTCTACGGTAGTGAAACCTGAACAATATCCATTGCCCTGGAGTCTCGTCTTGATGCCCTTTGTAATAGGTCGGTTCATGGGGTATTGTTGGCGGGACCATGTGTCTAACCAATGGTTGCACTGCAAGACTGGCACAGGACCTGTTACCTGCACAATCCAGGATTGGCAACTCAGGCTATATGGCCACCTGGCTCGCTTTCCACAGGCTGATCCTGCTCATCAGGTTGTCTCTGTAAGAGACAACCCTGGGTGGAGGAGGCCTGTGGGACGACCGAGGAGGTCATGGCTTGAGCAGATCGATCAAACCTGTTGGGAGGAGCTCGAGATGGGCCGAGTCCCTGCCTGGCGGCTTGCCATGAGGGATCCCAAAAGGTGAAAGCAAAAGGTGGACGCGGCTATGCACCCCTGTCAGCGTTAGCTCCTAATGATGATGATATTTTTGGGTAATAACCAGAGAAACTCCTTGATGCCTCTTTTAAACTTAAATTGAAAGTGCATTTGTATCTTCTTATCGGTAGAGGCAAATATAGAGTTCTACCAATAAGTCAAAGTAGATATCTATTTATAGTATGTGAAAATTAGTTATCCTTGGCACATTTTATTCAAGTAAGTGAAACTGTACAAAGAATTTCAAATTGAATGTTTACAATGTCAGTTTGCACTGAGTGGTGGAAGTGAGGAACCTCTCCGTGCCCTTGCCTGCCGGGTACTTCTGGAAGGATCAAGCATGGAGATCCTGCAAGAGGTCCTCAGTGTGTACCCAGAGGAAGCTGCCTGTGCCCCAGAGGATGTCTTGTTACAAGCACTAAGGATCATCCTAAGCTTCTGGAAGAACCAAGATGTTGAGGTAAGAAGGATTTTACTCAGATGTTTGAGGGAGTATTCCAAGTTAAAATGTAAAAGGTGAACAGTGCAGTTTAGATGATATTGCCTTAGTTGGAACAGACTCTTAAAGGTAAGGCAACACTTCATAAATGAAACTAAACTTCATATTCAGAACTAAAATATTTAGCTGGAAATGTAGTTTGATTTGGAAAGTTTGGCCTCAGTTTTCTAAGGTATTTGTTTTGCCTACTGATATTTTGTTTTTGTTTTTGTTTTTTTGTATTAATGCCTTAGGTCTACAATGTTAGAATTTGACTTGATATGTATAAATGCAACATTTGATATCCTATAATGGTCACTCACTGAAGAATTTTTATGGAAAAATAATAAGATATGAGTTAGATATAGCCTATGTGATTCATATTGTTTTACTGCACTGTTATATATTTTCATATTACCATTCTCAAAATACTAAGGCAGAGTAACTGAAATAAATTGCAATACTCTATGTTAACTGAACCTGTTTCTTATGTACTAATGAAACTTTACCAGGTGGCAATAGACCATAAGGAGCTGTGTGAGTATGACATGATGAAAGTCCTTGATCACATCTTGTCACAAATAGCCACTTACCTTAGTGAAGGAGGAGAGCTTTTATCTGAGGAGGAAGTGTTGCAAGACTTGCGAGCATTAGGAGAAGATGCAGCGGTTCCTCTCACGATCAGGGTAGAGGCTCTCTCTCTTGCTGAAAAGGTAGGAACTTATTTATTAACATAAATATAGGACAGTAAGATGTGTACTGATGAAAAGAAAACACTTGTTATTGTGTTTCTTATAAACTCTGTGCAAGTTCATTGTTCTGTTTTTTTCTAAATGCAGTAGTTTTACTTGTATGTAATTAAGACCCTGTAAAATGTCCCCTTTTTTAGGGATTTCATTTGCTCTATGGTGGTGTAACACCTTCAAAATTAAAACAACCAAACATTCATTTTAAAAAATAAATGTATAGATATGTAAATAATGCATTTTATGGTTTGATACAAGTATCTATTGCATAAAAGATTATAAAACAAAGGTCAGTTGAGTTTCTTTTGTTTGTATTTTAATTTGTTTTTGCAGCATCTGTCACTCAGCGAAGAGGACCTGCAGGTGGTTTGTGTACTCCGAACTGGAAGTGTTGTGGCTTGTGGCTGGCTGGATGAGGAGGAGCTAGACATCCCCCTTGATCAGGTGTCATGCAGTGAAGGAAGGGCAGCTCTCCTAGCCAAGCTCATTGCACACACCAAGACTTTGCAGCAAGCTCAGGCTTTAATTGATCTGCTCAAGTTGTGGCCTCCATTTGGGGATGATGTAAGACTCTCTTTCTCCTCTTAAAGTATATGCATAGAATTCATGTCAGTTTAGTTTAAGGAGTAAAAGAACTTTCTTGTGGTGGAATAAATAATACCTAGCCTTAGGGGAGTCCCTTGCAACAAAAGAAGGGAACAAAACAAGATCTTAAAGTGCAAATGGGCAGTCATTTGAAAGGAACTAATGCTAAGCAATAAAGACTAGAAATTCAGATCAGAAAGAGCAATTATTAGACTATTAGATACAGTCAACAAAAGAAATAGCACATTTGATAGCATTGCAATACTATCAACCAAAGGAGATTAACTTTACAAGAATTTTTTTTGTAATATTTGAAAAAGATTTTATATAGGCCTGACTTAAGCCCTACATAGATGATGAGGAGTTTTGGAACATGTACTTTGATATAGGCTATAGCGCTTTGACTGCCCTTTCATTTTGCCACTCATTGGCAACTTCTTAAACCTTTAAAATTTCTATACATATGAAACAAATTTTATAGGAATGCTTAAGAAAAAAGTGTGACCATAGGAGAGTTTGCTCTTAAATATTTTGTAATAGTCTTGCATGCTGCTTTTCAGAAGTACCAGGACAGCTTAACCAATCCATGGCTATCAGTGTTTAGGAAAATAATTGAAGCAACCAAGAATAACAACACACCAAGTGGTTTAGAGATCATTTGGGAAGCAACACAAAAAGTTATCTCGCAAAACCAGGCAAGTTTGGTTGATAATCTACTGGGCACATTCACTTGCATATTAGTTGTGATTATTATATGACAGAGAGAAATTTAATTCTGTGCTTATTATATTTATAAACTTAGTCATAGATCTAGCAGTGCAGTTTAAATAGAAAAAAGTACATTAAATATTCCATTGTCTTGCTTTTACTTTTCAGCTACCAAAGAACTGCCTGGTTGAGTTGGTGCAACAGTTATGTACAGCAGAAGAGGACTTTGGTGCTGTGGCATTGAAATACAGTTCTAAAGTGGCTCTCTTGAGTGATGACCCTCAAATCAATGGCTACATGATGAGGAATTTAAGCTCTCTTTTGGAGAAAAATTTGGATGTGAGTCAATGTTGATTTACCAGTGTCTTCTTTAAATCTTCCAGTCACTTGACTAATGTTTTGCTTTGTGCATGTTATGCTCTTACTGATTATGTTTATTAACTTTCCAGGTGACAGAGAGTCGTGACTATGACAATGATTTGTTAGCAAGGTTGATTCCACGAGGCTTGGTTGCTCAAGTGGTTCTTACACCTTTGTATGGTCCCCTAGTGACTTACCTGGTATGTTATGAGGATTGTTGCTTTTATGTTCTTTATTGCTGGCTCATTTTAGTTTTTTTTTTTTTTTTTTTTTTTTGCTATTACTGATTTGTGTAAATAACCATATTTCTGTATCTATTTTCATAATCTGTCTCTCCCTTGCTCTCATTCTTTTACTTCTTATGAAAAAAGGTGCAAAAGTTAATTTTACCACCATGTATTGCTTTATCTTGCAGAGTGAGACTGGGGACAAGACACAACTGAGAAAAGCAGTCGAGCAGCTAGAGACTGCGGGTTTCTACAAAGAAGCTGCCAGTTTAACTGTTATGCAAAGCTCAGTTCCCAAAGCACTTCAGTCTATTTCTTCCGTGCTCAAGACTTATAAAAAATGGCTTTGAATCTGTATGGATTCTCACAAAACAATTCCATTTCTACATGTATTAGGAATAACTGCACCTTCTTTGTTACTCTGCCACAGAATTATTGTTATTAAGCTCAAACTTTGTTTTATTTTGATGTATTGTGTATTATTTATGCTGTGTTTCTTCTTGCAATTGGAAATAAGGAATTAAACAAGTTTCCTTAAAAGTTAGAGAGAGGTGCTACTCTGTATGTATTCTTTTTCTTAGGCTTTGTCATGATTTAAACTTGTATAGAGAAATGCATAGGTAATATGTAATATCAGATTATAGTAATATCAAATATAATATCCAATTAAAAGTATACCCCTCTCAAAGGTTTAGAGATCAATGTATTTCATATTAGTTCATTCTTTTGTATATGACCCCTTTCTCTTCACATAGAAATGCATGCCCTGTTTAATATAGAAAGCAGTTTTTGAGAAATAAGCATGTAAAAAAAAATCTCCAGACAGTGGAGAATGGATAGATGCTTTATATGTTTAAAATTCAGAATTACTTAGCTTTTACAATGAGATTAGCACCATGATATCAGATAGCTTCTATCTACAAAAACATTTTTTGTAATTTGGTAATTATTAATTTTATAGGAGTAAAGCTTAAGAGCAGTTGATGAGCAGGGTTTTTTTTTTGTTGTCGTTGAATTATATTATATTAATTTTATTTGCAAATACCTAAAAGATATGCATGATTCACTTTTTATAAGATAGAATGTATTCATGACAGTTGCTCTTTTCTTCCAGAGAATTTGATTACATGCCTGTGGATTATATTTTTCATTTCTATGTATGATATAATAGACTTTCTCATTGGTACACTGGTAGCACTCTAATTAAATGAATCATGTTAAATTCACAATAAAGGCTTTGGGTGACTCGAGATGAATATTTTTATTACACATCTTTGTTTAGAATTAGATAATATATATATATACTTGATAGGCTTCATGTTGATGAAATATCCAGGTTTGGATTATTATTATTCAGTATATTTCTTTTATTCTGTTATGAAGGTCTGACTTGGAGCAAACCAAAATTTTCCTGTGTGAAATATTTTGGAGACACAACATTGAATGAGCAGCTGTATATGGTTAATCCTCCAGCAGTTAGTTGGCTTGCAAGTGGTGTTGCAATTCCTGTGCCAGATCCACCCATCATTAAAGAACTACCCTGACTAAGGTTAAGATCTCTAAGCTGAAGGGTGCTAGTGAATGGTGATAAACCTTAAGCTTGGGGCTTGCATACTGTCCCAGCAGCCACCTAGAAGCCTGGTCCATTTCCTTAACCCTGCTAAAGGTCCGGGGGGAATGGGATCAATGGGACTACAGTAACTACTGTGGTATCACACTGCTCAGGCAAGGTTCTCTTATATTCTTTTGAGACATTTATGACCACCTATTAGGGCACCAGAGACTGTCATGAGTTTGGTCATGGGCTGCTTGCAGCCTACATTGATTCTAAGGTGTTTGATTCAGTACATCACAAATCACAAAGGGAGATCCTGAGACTTAGGGGAATCCAGGCATGCATTATTTGACTTATAGGAAGCTTATATGCTGGTATTGAAAGTACTGCAAACTGTATTCATGTTGACAAATGTGGAAAAGGTATGAATGAGAATGAATATATTCAAAATACAATAGGTGCTTTTAACCAGTTTGGAACATAACTTCAACAGAAACATATCTTTCATGTTAATTAAGAAGTGAATCAAGGCTGTGTTTTTGTACCATCACTAACATTTGCATGGACTGGTTAATGGCCAGAACTATTGTTACTTGAGCAATATAGGACAATATCAAAGATAACCACCCTTGACTCTGCTGACGATATTGTTAGGCTATCTGAGTCTCTGAAATCACTGGTGGTGACTCTTGGTGCATTCAGCAATGAGATGAAGCCCTTGGATCTAGAGGTCTCCTGGATGAAGTCCAAGATCCAAGATTTTAGGGGCCTGTTAGGAGAACCTGTTCAGTCACTATGTGCTTGTGGCGAGGACTAAAGTTAAAGAGAGCTTTACATACCTTTACATACACACAGTTACTTATCTGAATATGGTTCCATATGACTTGAAAATAAAAAAAAGGCAATGCGTCCAAAGTGATACTGAGAACTTATTTACTTGTAGTTGTACTTGGAAAATGGAATTCAACACCAATAAATACCATGTAGTCAGGTTTGGATAAAGGGAAAATAGACCTCTATACCAATACAAGTTAGGAAATGCAGTAATAAACACAATAGATAGGAAAAAATACCTTGGAATAATCGTAAACAAGAACTTACGCCCAAATGGTCAGTTCAATGAAAAGGTCCATAAAATGTTAGCACTGATTGCCAACTTGGAGAATGTATTCATATGTGTAGACAAAAGTCTGGTAAAGAATATGATTGCAGCCTTCATAAGATGGCTTTAATGATTATGCTGGTCAAGTACATACAGGAAGAGTGAAGTTAGGAAAAGATGACTATACATTTGAACACAAGAAAGAAGAGAAGACAGTAAAAAAATTAATGTAAGAAAAGTTAATAAAAGGTCAAAAAGTTCAGTTTCCCGAAGATATTTATTGAAACATGGAACAATTTCCTAAATACCATGGTGTGTGCCAAAAATGTGCATCAATTCAAAAAGTTTTACAATGATTTACACGCACACACATACATATATTTATATTAATATATGAGATGTGTCAGAAAAGTTCCAGGACTGATATCACAGATTTCAAACCCAAACTTCACACTAAGAATTTTCTCCTTCAATGAAATCCCCCTGGAGTCTAATGCAATTTCTCATCCTCTGCCACGCTTGCATGAACTCCTGGAAGGCTCCTCCCACCCAGCAAGATAGGCAGGCTGTGGGTCCCGCTGGACCCACAATGTTCTGGCAGTCGCCGGCCCAGAATGAAGCTTCTGGGAGAAAGCTTTAGGGAACCCCCAGGTCTATGATGGATCCCGCAGCCTGCCACTC